ATTATTTGCATGGGCCAAGCATGGCAATACATGTTTTATATAGTATAGAACCCCATGATTACACAAGTTGAGAATTATAATCTCTCTTCTAGGGAAGAAAACTGAGGCATAGAGACATGACATTACCTAAGAGCCCATGTGTTGGAGGCAGTGGAGCCCAAATTAAACCTGTATCCATCCGGCTTTCAAGACTATACCCTTAACCACCAGACCATGAGTCATGGTAAAGAATCTAGTCACCAGGCAAGAAGGGCCGAATTAGTCATAGGGTTGTGTTAAATAGGCACAGTGCCTGGGCTCTGGAAAGGCAGGGTGAGGCATCTGGGAGTCAACTGCACTCAGGATCCGCAAAGATATCATTGTCCTGGAGTAATGGTTGGTTCAAGCCTAATCTGGGTCACTTGTCTATCAGGGGCTATTTATCTCAACTTTCCACTCAATATGTCAGGTCCCATTTATAGTGGGCAAATTCATCATTCCAAGAAAACTCACAAAGCTATTTATTTTAAAGATGGATAGTTTCCAAAATGCATATTATAAGACTGAAGAATAAATTACCTTTATCTGAAGACATATACGTCTAATAATTATCCAATTCATCAACTGGAGTCAAATGACAAAAATGTGTTACATTTGGACCATAACTGTATTGCTTTCATCTGTACAATTTAGGAGAGAAGTGTTCCTGGCTCCTTCCTGTACTTGTTGCCACTTATTCACACTACTTTCCTAGCAGCCTTGGCCATCTCTCCCTAGCCCATATCTAGCCATTACAAAGATCAGATGTAATTGTTTCTGACAGGTTTAATTTCATCTCTGCCATATGATGATATCTACTGCTACTGTCTATGAGACAGTCACAACTGGTCCAATTACGTGAATCATACAGATAACTAAGATTCAGACATTTCTCATTATCAATCAAAAAAAAAAGACCTATGCAGAAAAATTTATATGAAACATTCCACAGACAATTGCCTGTAATCAAGAGATCCACAAAGACTGGGACAGTGTCTCCTCACCACTGTGTCTTTGGCTCTTAGCATGGTACCTGGTACAGTGGGTTCTCAGTTACTATTTGTCACCAGAATGACCAATGAAAACCAGAACATGTACATTGGAAAAAAAAAAAAAGAAAAAAAGTGTATGTTGAATGTCTACTTTATGTTCAGGATCTTTTTGCTGGAAACCCATATACATGTTCCCCCTCCACAAAAGCAAATGATTTTCTCAGGCAAACAATGGGGGAGGGGCAAGGGAAAACTATTGTCTTCAGTTGTGAATTATGAAAAGTTGTATATATTTTATACACAGCTTGGAAATGACACTTTGAGGTTTTCAATATGTCCAGGAACTCCCATGTTTCATTTAGAAAATTCAACTAAAATTTACTGTCACTTTCTTTTCCTCTTATGCTTTTTTCCCCTTTCTCATAACAGTTGTGACTCTTCCAACATCTAATACACATCATTTAAAGTTTAAATTTAGAGTCATGATCACCCAGTTGTAATTCTAAAGCATGTTTTTGGAAACATCCTGAATTAGAACCCCAAACTATTGTGCTTTTATCTCACTAACAGACTTCATTAATTTACTTTGATCATTTCCTTCTTATCCTATATCATGTAACAAACAAACCATTTTGTCTAGCCCAGTGCTAAGCTTCAATGTGCCTGTGAATCACATGAGTATCTTACTAAAATTCAGATTCTGATCCAGGAGGTTGATTCGGAGATTCTGCATTTAAGATTTCTCAGGTGATGCCAAAGCTAATTGTCTGGAAACCATGCTTCTGTTGTGAGGGTCTGAAAGACTCAGCAAAGGTTTTTATAGTTAAGGAGAACACACCGGTGTGGCTTTTACATTCCTCTCCACCTAATGAAATATCACTGGGAATATTAATTCAAACTTAGATTAAAGTGGGGTTGGTATTAAAGAACATCTTCCAAACTAAAACACTTACTTATTTGTTCACATACTCTTTTTCACTCTAGGATGAAATGAATATAATTTTCCACTGGGAAGAAACCTCTTTCTCTTTATGTTTGAAGAACACTGAAGAAACTCAAGTTGTTTCTTGATTTCAGATGTATGGATGGAGGGGAAGTATATTAGTCTGTAATATATGTTTACATAGTCATCTAAAGTCATGAAAGACTATTGATATTTTGCTAAATAACTGCAAACAATGAAGGAAAATCTTATGCTTATTTTTAGTTTTCACAATTGGAATAAACTGGGTTTCTAATTCAATAGAATTGGGTTATTCTATTAAATGAGTGAGGCAATAGGCAACTCAGTGAAATAAAAATAAAACAAAAGCAAATTTATTGTGTCTTTATTTCAAGATAAACATTGTAAACCTAGCCTTCACTAAAGTGTAATGTG